CCCTACAGGCTTTAAGCACATTGCTTCATTCATAGCAACCCAAGGAATCATAACAATAAACATGTTTATCTCCCGTGTGCCAGCCAACATTGCCTCCCTCTCTCCTTGCCAGAGGTAAAGGTGACAGGTTCTTTTTTTCTTTTTTCTTTTCAACTATAGTTGGTTTTTGATTTTGGAATGTGCCCACAAAAAAAAATTATAAATGAATAAAAGCTAGATGATAGGATGGATGTCACTGGCTTTTCAGATCAAAAGATTGCACGTTTAATATAGTACCCAGATAAAATATAAAATAGAAAAGTCAGAAAAAAAAATAGGAAAGTCAGAGGTTCGATCCTTGGGCCTGCTGTGCTGGCTCCACCCCCAGGGAGCACTGAGACAGCAATTGAGACTGGTCGTGGTGGCGCACGCCTGTGATCCAGCTCTTGGGAGGCTGTAAACAGGCGGATCACTACGAGTCTGATCTAGTAGTGGGACCCTGAACACCCTGTCAACCCTTCCCTAAAATACAAAAATAAACAAATAGATAAATAAATAAATAAAATAGGAAAGTCAAGTACAACCATACGAAGAACAAACAATTAGTAATCTTACCAAAAGGTGATCTAAAACTTGGTTACTTACCAGATACCGCTCAGAACTAGGATTTAGAACAACCATGTAATTATTTTATAATATTTTTTACCCAATAGGTATAAGGTGGGGAGTGCAGAAGCCATTACACTCAGCAGAGGTCAGCCCCGATTATAGGCAAGGGGCTTGTGTCTAATTGCAAAGCTGCTCCAGAAGGCCTCTGAGTATTATTTACTCACGATAATGTCATCCTGCAATAATCTGCTATAGGCTAAGAGGATTTCTGGAGAAGTGACCATGTGAATCTTTTGAATTCCTCAGTCTGGGAATATAGATGGAGAGGGTTATGTGAGATAGTATTGGGGCTGGGGAGATGGCTCAGTGGAATAAGCGCTTCCCTGGCAAGTGCAAGGGCTCGAGTTCAATCCCTGGTTCCGCCAAAAGGAAAAAGAAAAGAGATAGTTTTAGCTACGTAGTAGAGAGGATAATACAGTATTAAAAGAAAGAAGGACTGTGGCAGACAGGTACACATCCAGATATCTACCTGGCCCTTTAGGATCCCCTATCTCTGAGTTCTCTGCTCCCCAATGGGCTGAAGATGGAATGTTCTGGATTTATACCCCTGCTCCAACACTCATTAGCTGTATTGCACATTATTTAACTCTCTTCCCTTTGGTTTCTCTATAAAATGGAGGTTATATTTGCAGGGCCATTAAGAGGAAACATTAAAAAGAGAGAGAGAGAGAGAGAGAGAGAGAGAGAGAGAGAGAGAGAAAGAGGAAACATAAGAGAACTATTATTGTTGGCTTTGGACTTGTATGATTGTACTGATGTGAGACTGATAACTGGGTTGGGTCCTGGGCAAAGACTGAGAGTGCTGGGAGAGAGAGTGGAATTGGTCATTCAGAGAAGCAAAGAAAACAGAACCACGATGCCACCAAAGGCTGAAGAAATTGCTGTGGTCCTGAGCAACTTTGCAGTCAGTCATCACAAAGGCTGGCTTGGCCTGATTCACATGGTCACAAGTGTCCCCAGACTCTTGTAATAATAAAAGAATGATTAGACTAGCACCTGCCACTTAGTGAAGAATAAACATCAGCCATTATTTCTGAGTATGTGCTCCTGGCCTAGCTGAGCTGTGCTGGAACCACGTTTCTCCCCCGGAAATGCGGGATTAGGATCACGGTGGTGGTTCTGTGTGGCTGGACTAGCAGCAGGAAGCTCAGCATCCTGTTTGGAGAGCTACAGAGCAGAGAATGGCAATCTCCAAAGACAGGAATAAACAGCTTCACTGTGAGAAAGTGCGTCTCACATGCCTGCCTTGCTACACTTGCTTGCTTATTTGAAGGGCATCCTTTTTTAAAAAAATATTTTATTTTGAGAGAGGGTCTTTTGTTTATTTGCTAAATTTCCAAGGCTCAAAGATAACAGTTTCTTTTATTTTTTTGGTGGAAACGGGGATTGAGGCCCTTGCACTCGCCAGGGAAGCATTTATCCCACTGAGCCATCTCCCCGGCCCTGCATCCTTTGTGTTTAGACTGAATACCCCACCCCTGCAGCCAAGGATCCTAAGCAATCCACCTATACCTGGAAAAAGGGTGAAATCCACTTATGGAGAAAAAGAGTGAGGAGTAGATAGAAGAAGAGAGACTAAAACATGCCAAAAGCCAAGACAGTCTCTTTGTCTACTTAGTGTTGAGAGTCTTTCCAGAAAACCCTATATCAATCTGCCTATTTTCCTTTTGATCCAGAGACATATTAAAGTAGGCTTGATAGTCGAATTTTTGTGTATGTGTGTTTTTTTTTTTTTTCAAACTTTTTCCTTTTTTTATTTAGGCTAAAAATCGTTTTCAATAGCCGGCGCGGGGGTGTGTGCCCATAATCCCAGCTACTCCTGAGGCTGTGAAGGAAGACAGCCAAGACTAGAAGGAGCAATTGTGTGAGAACTTGTCTGAAAAGTTTCAAAGGGCACTTGGCTCAGGGGTGGAGTGCTTGCCCAGCGGGCGCAAGGCCAGGTCCAATCCCCAGTAGAAAAATAAAATAAAATGGAAAAGTAAGTTTTCATTTTACCGGTAAAAGTCATATAACTCCAAGCATTCAACCAATTCTGTCAAGAAAGCCTGGAATGGGCTGGTGAGATGGCTCAGTGGTCTAAAGCACCTACTTAGAACAAGCTAGCTAAGCAAAGCACAGGGACCGCGGTTCAATCCCCCAGCACCACATACCAGCCAGCCCCGCCCCCCTGGTGGGCTGAGCTGGCCACACACACACACACAATAAATAAAGATTTAAAAAAAAAAAAAAAAAGAAAGAAAAAGAAATCCTGGAACAAAACACGTATTTGGACCGATTTTGGGCCCTGGGTTCCCGCGCGGCGCCTGCTGTCACGTCGTTCTGCCTGCCCTCCTCCTGCAGATCCAGCGGGCTGGTGTCCCCAAAGCAGACTCATGGCCCGGCGGATTCCCAAAGAGAAGGCTCCTGGAGATGATTTTAGGGGGCCGCTCCCCCTCCTGTATTCTGCTCTTGCAATGCCAAGGACAGCGCGTTCAGGAGCCTCTGCCATTCGGAGAGCCCGACAGGACCTGCGGGGCGCGGGGAGCTCATGCTCAGGCCTGCCCTCCTCGAGTGGCGCTCCGCAGCTCCCGGCCCCGCTGCGTCTCACTCCCGCGGGTCTCCCGCGTGCCGGCGCGGTGGGCTCCTGGTGCGGGCCCGGCAGAGGAGGTCCGGGCGGGCGGGCGCGCTCCGCTGGGCCTTACCCGTCGGGTCTGGGCAGCTGGGAGCCCCACGCGCTGCCTCCCTCCGCCCCGAAGGCTCGGCCAGCGGCGCGGGCGCCCCTAGCAACCAGACGGGGCGCCGCTCTAAGCGAAACCGACACTGCCGGGGCAGCGCGACACCCGGGCCCCGCCCCTCTGTATGTGTGTTTTTAAAGGTCCATAATAGACACTTCAAGGGTGACATGAAATTTCAGGTAGCAATCTTTCATCAACAAGGGTTTCTCAGGGCCGGGGAGATGGCTCAGTAGAATAAGCACTTCCTTGGCAAGTGCAAGGGCCTGAGTTCAATCCCCGGTTCTGAAAAACAAAACAAAACAAAAACCCCAGGAGTTTCTTACTTTTAAAGAAAAAAAGAAAGACCTGAATAAAGCAAGGATTACTTTTTTTTTTTTTTTCCATCTAAAGATTTTTTTCTCAAAGAAAAAACATAGTTTCTATTTAATGATATTAAATAAGGTTTTAGCTATGAAGGAAATTTTCTTAGCTCCAGGTATTAACATGAAAGCAGAACTGGAGAGATAGCTCAGTAGAATAAGCGTTTGCCTGGCAACCTGAGGACCTGAGTTCAATCCCCGGTCCTGAGGGGGGAAAAAAAAACAAACCAGAATAAAAGCCATGAAAGCATACACCAGAAGTTTTCATCTCCCTCTTTTATGGTTTGCGTCTATAGTTGTTCCCCCAAAGCCTTGTGCAGTCACGGGCAGACTTCTAGACTTTGTGATTAACTCATGATCCACTGGGATTATGGCTGTGAGTGCTACTGGGATTAGGGGTGTGAGTGCTACACCCAGCCTGGGGCAGAGAGCCTGAATGCACCATAAGGGAGATAGACTTGCTCTCTGCAGCTATTGTTGCCCCTGCCCCTGACCTTTTGCTCTGCCCTCTGCCATGTGTCAGTCTGTCTTGGAGCCAACTGAGTACAGACTGAAACCTCCAGTAACTGTGAGCTAAATAAACCTTTCTTTCCTTCATTTTGAGTGCCAAGTATTTGTTCCAGCAACGAGAGAAGAGTAACTGCATTTTTTTTTTTTTTTTTTTTTTCAGAACCGGGGATTGAACTCAGGCCCTTGCACTTGCCAGGCAAATTCTTATTCTACTGAGGTATCTCACCAGCCCCAGAGAAGAGTAACTGAGACACCATCCTTCAGCTTTACCAAATCACCAGCTTAGCAATAAAAACAGTTTTTGTTCTAGATGGAAAGAAAAAGGGATTTAAGGGCCTAGGCTTTGATTCTAGGCTTCTTCAGCCCTGTACCAGTAACTTAACTCCAAGAACCCCGGGAACCAAGCCCTTCAGTTTAGCAATTGCCCAGGCTATGTAGGGTCTCACTCCTAGACTGTACTATTTGCATTGAGTTTGTGCCTCATATTTGACTGTACTTCTTGGAAGAAGAGTGTGAAAAAATTGAAAAGATAGAATCTCGAAAAATGGAGCCCAGTGTTGAAAGCTTCAACATTTGGCCTTTTGTGTCAGTAGCCAAGGAACCGCCTCCCTCAGATGCCTTGGGGTGCAGATGAAAGGGCGCAGGCAGCCGAACACAAGGCCTCTGTGTGTCCCAGAAGCCCCATCGATGGTAGCCCGAGTCTGGAATGTGCTGTGTGCGTGAGGTGGGCGTGCTCCCACACAAATGGCACTCTTGAAAGAGAACATACCTGGGTTGAAATAAAAAATAATATTTAATAAATCCTGGTCTCCCCACGTGATGGCATTCTTGTACTTCTGGTACAGAGGGTACAACATGTCCTCCCAAGCCAAGCCTGTTGGAATCATGCTGTTCTGGAAAAAAGAAAACCATCAGCGCAGCTGGAGTACAGTAAATGCCTCTTATCTACTGAGAAGCAGGGTGGAGGGGACTGCTTTTCTTTCCCTCCAGGAGAGTAGCTGTTGCTGCTGCATGGGGTGCAGGACAAAGCAAACATTTGGGCAGTGGGTTGGAGAATTTCTGTAGCTATACTTATCCATGGATGCTGGATGAGTGGGAATTAGTGGTTGGACCTATGGTTGCTACTAAGAAAACAAAGCCCCCAAATAACTGCTTTGTTAAGTTTCTTTTTTATTTAGAAAGTGTACAGATAATTCACAGATAGTAGGATTAAGGAAAAACATTTCTTTCTCTTAAGACAATTATTTGCTTTTCAAATAAAAGTTACCCCTTCATAGACTAAGTACCCAATCAGTAATATAAACTTGACTAATTTTGTTATGTTTTTAATTTAAAAGCACAAAAAAATTCTCTCTTTATCTTCCTAAAATCTCATTCCCAATTTCCCCAGAAGCATCTACAATGAACAATTAATTGTTTTGTAGGTACCTCTCTGGAGATCTCATTTCCTTTTCCTTTTTTTTTTTGGCCAGCTCAGTCCACCCAGAGGGCTGGGCTAGAGCAGCATGTAGTCCTGGGGATCAAACCACGGTTCCCTGTGCCTGACTAGGCTTGCCTATGCAGGTGCTCTAGACTGCTGAGCTATCTCACTGCCCCCCCCCCATTGCATATACTTTTGCTTTGTTTCCTGATACAGGATCTTACTATGTAGCCTAGGCTGGCCTCAAACTTACAATCCTCCTGACTCAGCCTGCCAAGTACTGGGAATACAGGGAAGCATCACCACACCCACCTTTAAACTTTTCTCATTTAAAATTTTTTTGAGGGCCAGGGAGATGGCTCAGTAGAATGAGCGCTTGCCTAGCAAGCGCAAGGACCTGAGTTTAATCCCTGGTTCTGCCAAAAAAATAAAAAATAAAAAATAAAAAAATAATTTTTTTGAAGTTTTATTATCTCACAGATGAACATATTCACTGCTATTGCTCATTTTTTAATGTTTTAGATCAAACTGAGGGTCCTGTACAGTCTAGTCAAGTGCTGCACCACTGAGCTATACCCCAGCCATGACTAACCACCTATTTTTAATATGAGGGTATTTTTTTTGTGTGACTGGTACTGTACTGATGTTCATTTAGGTTCTTTCCATTTCTTTGCTAGGGTAAAAGATGAGACCATGAATACCCTTTGCAAATATCTCTGTGTACTTATGTTAATACATTTCTGTAGTACTTTCAATAAATTTGACATGGTCTTTGACACCTTAGATATGCAGAGAGTTCGAATGTTTTGGAATTCAGAAATGCCACGTAATATTCCTAACTGGGAAGTCTCCAGACGCTTTAATTTCATAGCCATCTGGGCTTTTCTTGAATAAATGAATATCCTATAACTCTGCAAATGTTGTTGTAATAGGTTAAAATCAATGCAGCTCTTGTTATTTTTCTACTGGTCAAAGCTGGCAGGGACCTCCAGCTCTCTGAGCGTCGCTTCTTGGCTCAAGTGCAGATCCTTCAGCCTGCTCCTGTTGTACACAGCTGATGTGTTTCCACCTTAACTGCATCTTGTGATTAACAGACCCCATCTGGGGCAAGTTTTGCTTATCACTAAAAACTGTGAACACCTCCTAGTCGCAAAGAGCTTGTAGCTGTATCAACAAGGCTTGCTATAAAGGACCAAGCTCAGCTCTGCTTGGCGAGGCTGGTTAGCACCTCCCTGCCTGGAGTGCGGCTGGCTAGGTGCCAGACCAGCTAAGAAGGGCTCACCAAATTCCAATCTGTCCTAATCTCGGTCTCTATTCAATTCAAACCCGGTACAGTTGTCCCCTGGGTCTTTCCCTCCTCACATTTAGACCCCCCACAGTGCTCTCCAAATGTATACTCATTAATACTCTAGCCATACCCCTGTAGGAAGGACTTCTGTACAGAGGTTTTTTTTTTTTTTTTTTTTTTTTGTGGAACTGGGGATTGAACTCAGGCCCTTGTGCTTGCCTAAAGAAATGGTAATTGGTTGTAATTACCCTTTTTTTTTGGGGGGGGAGGGACTGGGGATTGAACTCAGGACCCTGCGCTTGCCAGGCAAGTGCTTACTCTAATGAGCTATCTCTTTGGGCCCTGTAAGGGACTTTAATGCATTTCATTACCTTGAACTGGGTGTTTCTTATCCGAGTTAAATTCATTAACATGACTCCTGAGTTAACTCCTGCAGAGCCGTAGAAAGGATGCCGGGCAAAGCGGCTGTACCAGCCAATCTTCGGGATCTCATGCTCAGGGGCCATGGCAGCCAGCTGCGTGGAATTAAACTGCCTCAGAAGTTTCCAGATGTCATCGACAGGTCTCAGAAAGAGAACATCGGTGTCCACATAGAGAAGGGAGTCCACATCCTTCAAAATCACCTTGGTGCGCAAGGGGCAGCAACAAAGCAAAAGACAGGTCAGAAACAAAGGAACTGGACTGGTATGAAAATAATGCCTCCAATTTTCAATGATTAGGATTGAATTCTAGAAAGAAACTCATTCTTAGCTCCCTTTCTTCCCTTCTTTGAGTGAAAGGATAAGTGTTAATCAAAAAGTATAAACTAGATAGCTTATGGTCTAAGCACCCACTTTGCAAGTACAAAGACCCAGGTTCAATCCCTGGTACCACATGCTGTGCCAGGCCCAGAACCCCAGGCATGGTGGCACATGCCTATAATCCCAGTGCTGGGGAGGCTGAGACAGGAGGATCACTAGAGTCTGAGCTGCATAGACAGACCCTGTACAAAGTAAATAAAAGATTAAAAAGAAAAAAAAGTACAGGCTTCAAATGAATCTTGTGGTCCAATCCCATGACCCAAGGCTATACTTGATACAGGTCAAACTTCTAAGGGGTAAAAAGCAATGATTTGCAATCTCTGTTTTCTTCCATCTTCTTGGATGGCTGTCTTTCTCTTTTGGTTGGTCCTTGGAACAAGGGCAGACATTAGATAATGTAAAATGGACTCTTTGTAAGCCATTTTATGGTGGGCTGGGCAGTATGCCATCTATTTCTTCTAGTATTGATGAGTATGTCTTTCCATCTTTCTTTCTTTTTTTTTTTTTTTCAGAACCCGGGGATTGAACTCAGGCTCTTGTGTTTGCCAGGCAAGCGCTTATTTCACTGAGCCATCTAACCGGCTTTGCATCTTTCTAAAATGGTGTTTTTAGCTAAAATTTGGACTTGAGAAAAGGCAACGTAAGTCACTAGCCAGCTTTGTTTGTAGACAAGAGATCGGCAAACTTCTTCCTGTAAAGGGCCAGACAGTAAATATTTTCAGGTCTGATGGAGCCGCCCAGTTCTGCTGTTTAGTGCCCAAGCAGCTCTCTGACAACATGCAAATGAGTGGGCGGTTTGGTTCCCACAAAGTGCCCTCGGGGACACTGAGATGTGACTCTCATGTCATTCTCAGATGTCACAAAATACTCTTGACTTTTTGCCAGCTATGTAAAATGTAAAAGGCACTCTTTGCTCAAAGGCTTTAGGTTTCCAGTCGGGCTGTTCCAGTCACTTCAGCCAGCAGCTCTGAGAAGCGGGTGTCCTGCTATTCCCAGGGTTTCCACAGCTTTGCCCTGTGTCTGACCCTGCCAACCTGAGTTAGTAATAATGTTCTTGGCCTTGTTTTGCCTTTGTTCTCCAAACTTAGGAGTAGTTTCACCCAGGAAGAAACTGAATCTTCCTGGGTCCCTGGCCTCGCATCTTGCTGACACACATGTAGGAACTGTTTGCATTCCCCTAAGTTCATAGGTTGAAGTCATGACTGATAGGTTCCAGACCGGGCACAAACTGCTAAATTATCATGGCCCTGATACAAATGGCTGAGTCCCAAAAACAACAGCTTTGACTAAGCTGATAAGAGTAAGAAAATACTTCATCGAGATCCTCAATATTTAAAACTGACAAACAAAGGCACTATGTAATACAAGTAGTATCACAGGGCTTCAGACTAGAGATATTTTATTTTACTTTTTTTAATTTTTTTTTTTTTTTTTTTTTTTTTTGGCGCAACCGGGGATTGAACACAGGCCCTTGCCCTTGCCAGGGAAGCACTTATTCTACTGAGCCACCTCCCTGGCCCCCTGACTAAAGTAATTTTAAAGCCTACATGATTAGCTAGAGGGTTTAATTTTTTTTCTTATCTAATATAAGCGTGGATTTTACAAATCCATAAAATTAAATTAAAAATAATTATCATCAGGGCTGGGGAGATGGCTCAGTGGAATAAGCACTTCCCTGGCAAGCGCAAGGGCCTGAGTTCAATCCCCGGTTCCGGAAAAAAAAAATAATAATAATTATCATCAAACATTTCACAAAGGAAAATTGTCCTTTCTTCTCCCCTGGTGGAGACACTGAGGATTGACTCTACAGCCTTCGCACTGAGGTGCACCCCCAGCCCTTTTTAATTATTTACTTTGAGGCAGGGTCTTGCTAAACTTCTCAAACTGAGCTTGAACTTTGTAATTCTGCTTCACGACCCTTCCTCACTCCACCCAGTGCTGGGATTATAGGCATGTTCCTCTGTACTCAGCTAAGAAAATTATCTTGATATTTGTTTTTTTAAATTTAATTATTTTTATTGTTATTTAAAAAAATACAAAATAGTAAAAATTATAAAGGATACAGAGCTTCACTAAACAAAACAATAGGAATTCAACAATGGTTGATATCTGTTTTAATAACTTGAAGAATTTGGCTATAATGAATTTGGCAATTACAACAGTCAGTCTTCAAATTTTGGACCCATGAAGAGAGGAAACTTTGGAGGCAGAAGCCCTGGGCCCTACGGTGGTGGAGGCCAATATTTTACCAAACCAGGAAATCAAGGTGGCTCTGGTGGCTCCAGCAGCAGCAGAAGCTATGGCAGTGGCAGAAGGTTTTAAACACTTCTAGGAAACAAAGCTTAGGAGGAGAGGAGAGCCAGAGAAGTGACAGGGAAGCTACCATTTACAACAGATTTGTGAACTCAGCCAAGCACAGTGGTGGCAGGGCCTACCTGCTACAAAGAAGACATGTTTTAGACAATACTCATGCATATGGGAAAAAAACTCAAGGACTGTATTTGCGACTAATTGTATAACAGGATATTTTAGTTTCTGTACTGTGGAAAGGGTAAAGCATTCCAACACAGGACTGCTGTGTAATAGTTGACTGCTAAATGTAATAGTCTGATCATGTTGCTGAATAAATGCGTCTTAAAAAAAATACATAAAAATAAATGGGGCTAGCCAGGCAGCTCAGAGGATTAAAGGTTTTGATCCCTTTGGGCCTGCCATGATGGCCCTGCCCCAGGGCGTGCTGAGAGGTGAGTGAGACGGGTGTGGTGGCACATGCCTAAAATCCCAGCTCTTGGGAGGCTGAAAACAAGAGGATCACTGTGAGTCCACCTGTGCAGTGAGAACCTGTAGACCCTGCTCCAAAAAATCCAAAAATATAAAAAAAGAAAAATAAATTTTTTAAAAATCTACCATATTCTCTGTTTTTTAAATCTTGTTGTGAAAAGGTAGAAGTTGTCCACAATTAAATCATGGAATTACTCATGACTGCTTCTGCGTCCGCTAGTCTGCTCTACTGATCCTCACGCTACAGGCGAAATGCATCTCACAGCCTGCTAGATGTCAGATGCGCTGCGTTCATGTTCCCTGAAATTAAAGAATAAACTGTAAGGACAAGGGAGGTCAAGGGCAGGAGTTTACTGGGGACCAGGAATAACTCCTGAGTGGCAGGAGGGCTCTGAATGGGCTGTCAATGAGCCCTCTTTGCTGAGAAAGTTTTATAGAGCAAAATCACAAGGTGGGTACAACATGACTTAAAACTATCTTCAGGGGCCGGGGAGATGGCTCAGTAGACTAAGCGCTTCCCTGGCAAGCGTAAGGGCCTGAGTTCAATCCCCAGTTCCACCAAAAAAACAAACAAACAAAAAAACCTATCTTCAACCAGAAACATAAATATAGTCACTTGGTTAATATTGTTTCAATATTAGCAAGGGCATATGGATGATATCATTAACCTTGATGGATAATCTAACCTTATCTTTTGTCTTAATTTTTTGTTTAAAAATTTTTTTTTGTTGGGGCTGGGGAAATGGCTCAGTAGAATAAGCGCCTGCTTGGCAAGTGAAAGGGCCTGAATTCAATCTCTGGTTCTGCAAAAAAACCATTTTTTTTGTACCTGGAATTGAACTCAGAACCTTGACTTTCCAGCCAGATGCTTGTGCCACTGAGTTATATCCCCAGGCCTGTTTTGGTTTTTTGAGATAGGGTCTTGCAATGTAGTAGAAGCTGTCCTTGAATGCACTACATAGCCCACGCTGACCTCGAACTCCAACTCTGTGGAGATCCTCCTGCTTCAGCCGTCCAAGTGCTGGGATTACAGGCAGGCACCACCACACCTGACTAGCTTTAGTTTGAGTAGTTTTAGTCTTAAGTGAGTAGGAGAAGATGGCCCACCCCTAAAGAGATAATAGTTTACATGGGGAATCTCAAAAGGGTGGTACCAATAATCTCAAACTTCCAATTATCCCTCCAGGAAGTATGTGAAGCTAGCCATTGTGATTTTAATCTTCTTCAGATGTGCCTCCAGCTACAGTTGTGATATGTTCTCATCTTCTGCACTGACTTCATCTGATTGCTTATAATATCTACCTTAACTGTCTACAGTACTCATGTCTGTTCTTATGTCCTGTATCCTGATGTTTTCTCAATACAACTTTCAGTCCTGGATTGTGATTTACCTTATTATCCAGGATTGCTCTTGTGATCCTGGGTCTCTTCTGGTTCCATATGAATTTTATGATTGTTTTCTCCCACTTCTAAGAAGGATGCTATTTTGATTGGGAGTGTATTAAATCTGTTTATCAATTTTGGAAATATGTTTTTTTTTTAAACTTTATTCTGTCCATCCAGGAATAGGGGATCTCTTTCCATCATTTGATATCCTCTGCAGTTTCCTTTTTTGTTTTGTGTGGTTCCAGGAATTAAACTCAGGACCTTATGCTTGCCAGGCAGGAGCCATACCACTGAGTTGTATCCCTGGCTGACAATTTCCTTTCCATAGTGTTGTTGGCAGCTGAATTAGATAGAAATATTATAGACAATCAGACAGGGCCAGCCCTCAAGGAGATAAGAGGGAAGACAACGTGACTTTGCAACTTGGAAGAGACAGACACTCTCTTATGGGCCACATCTCAAGACAAGACAAAAGAGGAAACACAGCTACACACTTCCCTAGGGATGGGCATCAGGGATTGATATTCTAAATAGGTATCAATCACCTTGAAAGAGCCCACATTAGTCACTAATCCAACCCCCAATAGGAGGAGACCCTGTCCCTCATTCATGCCCCCTTGTGAGGTGACTTGCTTCCCCATTTGGTACTGGATTTA